TGAATGGACAGTGGAAGAAGATATTGCTGAACTACTTCTGAACTCCCTTCAAGTGACATTTTTTATCCCCATACTAGAGGCACTACACTCTTCCACCCACCAAGTACAAAAACCCAGTTTAATATTGCGGAAACCATTAATTCACAACACTCGGGAACCGTGTTGATTCGAAGCCAGGATTTGAGTGGAGCCGGAGTCACGAGGCCACCTCTTAATTCGTTTTCTATCATTTTACCACCTTTTAAACTGGATATGGAAATCCTAGCAGTGATACTGAGCACGGATTTTTAAAAGTTCAAATAAGAACCAAATATTAAAAGTAAAAAAAGCTTTTATACCGTGCAAGTCAAAAAGCGATTGCGTCGAAGGCATTTGAGGCAACGTCACAGCCGTGTGAAAAATCCCAACACAATATTTCACAGCACATCCGTAAGCTCGCGGCACCGTCGTTAAAAAAAAAACATCGCGAATTGACTCCGACATCACAAAAATGAACCACGATGGCAAAAAGTCAAAGAGGTATTGTGACAAAGGCATTTAAGGTGAAGCCACATCAGTGTGCTAAATTCACAACACAACATTTCACACACCACCTTCAAACCTCCAGCACCATCGTCTCAGAGCATCGCACATCAGCTCCACATTGTCAAAAAATAAACCATCCATCAGCTAAAAACATGCGCGTCTAAATGTGCTCACAAAAGCTTGCGAAGGTCGCGCCGTTGCAGGTTACACCTTTGTTTGTACCGCACCTGTACAGCATGGGTCCGTGTGGTTCTTCGTCTCTCGAGCGGTCACAACCATCTGCATAGCTCTGGTTGCAAACCCGCACGTGCGACGGTGGGGTTTTTTTAATTTGACCTGGCCACAATTGATTGCTCAACGAAGTGGCTTATCATGTGGAAATGTATAGCAGCCAAATACAGTACTCTAAACGCATGTTTATAAACGTGGAGGGAAAACCCAGAGAAAAATCCACGCGAAAAGGGGGAGAGACACACACACTCCAACTATACAGGGGTCAGGGTCGGGATCGAACCCACGAGCTCCTGTATACCAGGCAAGGGAGTTAACATCTCGTCACCGTGGCATTGAGAAGGGCCTTGACCGATGCCAACTTAAATACGATGCATGTATCTTCTCCCGTTGTACACAAGGACACCTGGCAGTGATCATTCATAACAGCACCGTCGTTATATGGTTAAGCAATGCAGGAAGGATCCCCCGCCCTTTCCGCTGAGTCTCAAGACTCTCTTTCAGGAGGGTCATGCATTGAGAAGTTTGGCCAATTTAATTTGTATCGAGTGTTTTGTGTGTGGGAGGAAAACCAGAGTGCCTGGTGAAAACCTACATTCGTATGCGGGAATAACACGGCCAAATGTACACGGATATGTAGTGCGATTGAACGCTGCCCTGTAGAAGCTTGCTGATGAGGTCTAAAGAGGGTAAAACTCGACGACGCTATCTTAAATGCAGTGGACTGCCCATACAACCTTTCTTGAAGATGTGTCCACTGACGAATTTACATGTTTTATTTAATCAAGGAAAACTTCATCATCGTCAGCCATCCTCGATTCACTGTTGGACGAAGGCCTCCCTAAATTATGGTCTCACGATGCAGCAATCCGTGTGGCACCTGCACAAGAGCTGAGTTCATCACTCCTTCTTAATGATGGACGCCCTCTTAGGCGTGTCACTCCTTTAGCTGACACGATCGTTATTAGTCTCGACAACCGGCCGTCTGGAACGCTCTTCCTTCCAATATTAGGAAGCCACTGGAACCATTAACTTTTTAATATAGATTGAAAACGAATTTCTTTAGAACTGCTTTTTGTGTGTAGTTTGTTGTCCTTCCCCCACACCTCCGATTAGCACGGTTGGCTCCGTACGATGGGAAAGAAGTTCAACATACATACAAACATTAGCACAGTTGGCTACGCACGGTGCGGAAGGCCAACGTACATACATTTCCCACTCTTACCACTTAAATGTTTACTCCGTCCTGTGAATATTATGCAACGAAAATGTATGTCATGTTCACAAACACAAAAAAACCGAAGAGCCATGAAAAACACAAAATGAAAGGGTCACTTATCTAATTATCATCTTCAATGTTTTCTTCCAAAAAAACCCCACGCGGGTTTTTTTTCGAACGATTTAATGCAGGAACGAGCTAAGTGGATAAAGTCGCCCATTGTCAAAGGGTTCAGGCTCAAGCTTCCAGGAAGCAAGGCTTCTCTCTAACCCCCACCACCACCGCCGCCAACAGACCACCCACCCTGAGTAGGAGAGGCTCTGCTGCTTGTGCGGATAGGGTAGCACAAGAAGGGAACGTGGAATAATGGAAACACAAACTCGCGTATTGCTTTTTTTTGTTTTGCGTCTAACGGGGTCCCATAGTTTATACGGAGTGATCTTGCAAATTACATGCGGTAGCTCAGCAGCATGTCTATGCTGACGAGGTCAAAACGAGTCCACTTTTATCGCTTAAATGCTGCTTGATAATATGGGTCTGGAAAGCCAATAGGCTGCTGTACTAAAAACTATTTATACTTCTGTATGGAGACACAGAACGGAATTCAGCTTACATCTGGGATAGAGGCAGCAATGTAACAATTCATCCCCTTTACCCACCCTCAGAAATGAGGAATTGCCCCGTTTAAAACTTCATCCAATATCTATGTACAGGGTCGAACAAAAGTCAGGACACAAAGGGTTAGTTCATTTATTTTGACACTGGCATTAAAACATTGTAATTGTTTATACTTAAAGTTATTAATTTATATGATTATTATTCTCTATATTTGTCTTCTTCCTGTGGAAGGGTCACCTCAAACCCGTCGTTTACAAAACTCGATCGAGAACCCTGAATTAATTTATACGAAATCAATTTGATGGATGTAAAAAAATTACACCAGTCATGTTAAAAAGTCCTAAATTCATTTTCAAAAGCAAATTCATGCATGCAGTAGTGTTGATGGAAGTCCGTTCGAACATTTGTTAAAATAAATGAAATTATTTATCTCGTGTCCTGTTTTTGTTATGTATGTACAGTTTATTAGCCTGGATGTAACATTGGTAAATAATTTCCATGAATCATAATTCTCACATGCACATGACTCGATGCACACATCACAGGCATAAGAATCAATTTGAATGGATGAATAAAGATATCGTTACATGCCTATACATTTTTTTTCAAGATTTATCCAGAAAGGGCTCACCAAGTCTCCTGACTATTGCAGACGGGTCCTGCCAAATGTTCGCAGTAAGCAGCGATGATTGCTACGTATAATCCCAATTGAGTAATTTGTGAGTAATATTTCCCATTTTGCAAATGTTGACCCTGACGCTGGCACACAATGGCTTACTCTTGATGCCAGAGGATCCTTAATATCAACTGTGACACAAACGGTACATTATGGTCATTACACACCCCACTAATAACCATGGTGGCCTGCTGGGATTCGAACTCTGAATATCTGCTGGGATTCGAACTGTGAATATCTGCTGAGATTCGAACTGCGAATGTGCTACCGCTGGGCCATATTGCCAGATAAACGGGGCCACCCGCACCTGCGATTAGCACGGTTGTCTACGTATGGTGCGAAATAAGTAAAAAATACATAGATACATACAAAGTGGTTAAATTCAGTCTCTGGGTGGCAGGTGTACCTGATTTATAACTCACCCAAACACTCAAGCCAGGGTGGAGGGCATTTTCCTTACGAAGACGCCGAACACAACTTTCAAATATCTTTGGCAGGAAACTACACATTCGTTGATGCCAAACTTTCATCAGGCTAGGGCTGTATGCATTGATGATATGTACCAGAACTATTTTCAATAAAACAGGTGACGGAGCGTAATACATTTTGAAAGTGTTGCCAAGTGTAAAAAAATATTCCCCTATAAGGGGCCGTCCATAAATGACGTCAGGCTATTTTGGACGATTTTTTGACCCCCCCCCCCCCCTTGCCAAACGGCGTCACAAAAAGTCGGACCCCCCCCTCAAATGACGTCACAAAGCTCTCCCCCCCCAAAAAAATATATATAAAACATGCTTCAAATCGCTTTAAACTATTGTCACTGTAGTGCGTATTTAATGTGCCGCTGCACTGATGTTGTAGGAGAAAACATTTATTAAAAAGTATATTTAATTAAGTAGAATGTGTTGTCTATATTTATTGAAAGTTGCGCATTTTGATGTGATGTCACATTTCTCAAACACCCCCCTCGTCACAAATGTCTGACTCCCCCCCCAGGTGCATGACGTCATTTATGGACGGCCCCTAATACCCATTTAGGATGCCAATGATCATCATCATGATCCATGGGCAGATAGCCCGTCGGTGTGCACTGCACATGTTGTAATTTTGATTGCAGGGATTCATATTCTTGGTTCTTTCGGTAAAGTCACGTAGAAGGGAAACAATTAAATAATAAAAATAAAAAACAATACAATTCTCACGACGTTTCGACTGCAACACAAGCAATCATCATTAGGTGTGAAAACCACAGCAAAAAAAAATGTTGTTTCCCTTCTACGTGACTTTACCAAAAGAACCAAGAATATATTTGTCATTTGTTTCCACTTGCTTCTGTCTCATGCCAATATGCTTAAGTAGTGCCACATCTTCCCGGCACCAATCTATTATTGTCGTCGTTAAGCCATTTTGCGAGGTCTTCCTCTCTTTCCAGTTCCTTCTATTTTTCTAAACAACACACTTCTAATTTTCCTGGTGTTGTCCATCCTACAAGTATCCAAATAGTGCCAGTTTCATTCTCATCACTGCCATTTTCTTACTTATACGTTGCTCACTCATTGCTTGCAGTGGATATTATTCACAGACCATTTCGAGGTGGTCGGCCTCATGAACCCAAGGGCCGTATGAAATTACGTCAAAGACCGCATACATTTCCAAACAATGAAATGCTTTTCTTACGCTCAAAACTTAATGCTTAAACTCGTTTAAAAAAACAAATGCCAAATTGTAAAATACGTTTCAAAGTTTTATTATTCTCATAGTAAAGATTCAAATATGCTTCCATGTCAGTATCTAAAAAGACAAATACACCAAATCAACTACTCGGCCGTATGTACACGTAACTAGAAGCCCTTGCTGTACCCAAAACCATTGGCAACGCCACAAACCAAATACAATTTACAACAAATTAACGAATCAAAACACTGAACGAAGAAAAAAACAAAGTATCAGTGATAAATCATGAAGCTCAAACTACAGTGACAATATCATAAACAAGAGCGGTGCTTTTCTCTCCAGGAGCAACATCAATATTCGGAGGGATGGCCGAAAAATGCAATGCCTATTCCCATAAACATATTACCGTGAACTGATTTGAACATATATTCACTCACGTAAAGTTCACGAACAGTTAGTTAATTTTCAAGTCTCCATCCTTTACTCTTGTGCTGTTATTGAACAAGGGCGAGCATTGTATCACAGCTGAAGGATTCATCAACGTTGCACAAGCGGACTCAACCATCTGTGGACAACATCCAGTACAGCGGTATCATTTTCAAAATGATGTCCACACAGAGGAGCGAGTTACACACACACACATCTGAGGGTGCCAGGTCTTGGCTGGTGAGGTGGATTGGGGGCAACAGTCCAAATGAACTCTGTAATGGCCACCGAGGGTTTCTCAGGGTCATGTTTGGTCTTGCACCATGGTGTTATAAGAGGGTTTCATCTGCCAGGTGACAAATGTGGTTCGACATATCACCAAGAGAACAAAAGTTTAGATATTCGTAAATCCTTCAACAGTGATGTTCGGCTGGCTCCGGCTCGACATTGGTACAAGAGTAAATAGAAAAGTTAAAAAAGCAAAATGTTCATGACATTCATACAATTAAATAACAAACATTTTGTATTACCTTTGCAAAAAATAAAGGCATTATTTTTGGGTATACCTCGTACAATGTCGAATGTCACAAAGTGGATAATCGTCCTGTAAAGTTGTTGCGTTTATGTAATTTCTTTATGTAAATCGATTATACATGTTTGGCACGGAGCGGTACTGTTAGCATGTACAACATACACTGCAAAGGTTTATTCAAATAATTTAAATCAACAGGTTCCAGGACTCAATGTTTTGTATGAGAGGTTATTAAATGAAAATAACTAGTTACATCCCTTCATGTCAAGTCATTCTGTACTCGGAAAGTAAATGGTAATACGCCTATTGAGCTGCATTATCAATGAATCTGCCCTTCAGACCAGTTGTTGCAGCCTTATATAATAATAATAAAAATGGTAATGTGTGAATATTAGGCGATTCAAAACGTCCCTCCACCAACCATTACTGTGTCCTCCCTCAGAGCACAGGTTCCAGTGCTCTGCGGGAATTCACGAGGCTCAGAAAACCAAATCAAGGCACGTGACCAAGAAACAGGGAATTGAGTGGAGAACGCAGGCCACATACAATTGGAATTGAACCGTGAAAAACAGGGTTTCTCGTCCTTATGTAATGTATCTACGCTGGCACTCATCACATTCTTACTTGCAAAAAAGCTACCAAATGACCTGGTTAGGCAGGGACAGTCCTGGTTTCAGAAAGGTTGTCCCAGTGTTCCAAACGATTGTGACAATCAGAGATTTTGTCCCGGTTTCAAGTATTCTGGTTCCCAGCTTGACTCATGATACATAGGGCAGGACTGCCTGGGTATAGGGCAGGGTTGGCAGAGGAGTGGGGGGGCACGGAGTGAGGAAACTCACTCTGTGAGTGCAGCTAGTGGGTGAATGAGTGTCGCTATTGATATGTGGGCAGGTCTGAAGGAGGGAGGAAGTTGACTCAGCCCATGTTCTGGTTGAGCCTCCCAGAAATCTGGTAAGCTTTACTTTTCCACAATCATGATCAGTGACATTTCTTCTTTAATCATCTGTTCCCTCTCTCCCACTGCCCTTGAGTGGGGTGCACAGTCGATAATGACTGTGCTGAAACATCCTCTTAAAATGTAAAACTATAACACAGGGCAGACATGAGCCATTCGGGGCTTTATAACTTACGCCTTGCTAGCTGTTCTACTTAAGAGTGAAGTTAGGAAATAGATGACATTACAATGGACTTAAGTCTGACACATAATAGCTAGAGATAATATCCAGCCCAGGAATCGGGTCGAGATGAGAATTTTGGTGATGGGATGAAGCCATGACCCCTTCTTGGTAAAAGAATAATAAAAATTGCAGGACAATACAATTTAATTTGGATTTGTATAGCATCTTATTGCCACCAAATTTCAAGATTCCGAACGGGCCAAATGCGAGCTTTCACTTTGAAGTAAAAATAAAATCCACCTCAATGGCAATGCGAGTGTTGCATGTAATGCTGATCATGAAGTATTTTTGCTACCTGCCTAATAACATGCCGGTATCAAACTCCATTTCCAAGGACTGCGAAAAAAAAGCAATGTACATTGCAAAAACAAAAGAAATAAATGATTCACACCAAACATTCTTCAAAGACATAATCATTATGTACATCGTCTAATATACAACACAAGAGTGCAAGCAATAACGTTCCCATGCTCTTCTCTCCAACAGTGCAGCCACGCACTTACGCTAAACGCAACGCCAACTTGACAGGGAAAAAACCCCACCATCTCGGCTGAAACTGCCACTTGTATTTTACACACACAGTAGCACGCTGTAAAACGTTGTTGAATTAAACAAACGTGCAGTATTTGTATGAATGCCGAGCCAGGTTCACACCTTGATGAGGCAACCAAAACACACACAAAGGTGGATATAACGACTATTGGTGTGTACGAATTTTCATGATGTCTCCAGCAAATAAATGTTCGTATTTAACAGGCTTTGGCCGTGTTGCTTCAGACAGCCACATTTTCGTCACAGACTGGATGAAAAGTACTTTAGGCAACGTGTGAATCGGGCTCAAAATACGGTTCCTTTTTGTTTTGTGTAAATGTCTGCCAAAATGGTTTCCGTTTTTATATCATTTATGCGATAACATTTACTGTCCAAACGTTTCGCCTTATCAAGCATGTCTGGATTACCCAGAAGGCAATGTGTCGTTGAAGGGCGTGCAACTGTTCAATTGCCGCGGTTTCGGGGTGGCGATTCGATCGTATCGTATCGAAAACGTCGATGGTGTTGTTTCTCCGGGATTCTTTTTTTTTTATTCTCAGCGATTTGATGAATTGTCACGATTCGTGGTCGTCATTCGATAAAAAAAAATTAAGATCCTGATTTGTCTCGTTTGTAATGTTTCCTTTTTTCCACTTTTTTTTTACATTTCTGTCTGCTCCGTTTGCCTAAATGCAATATTGGAATATAATTTTAATATAATTTATGTTAATCTAAAATCATCCAATTCTCACACGCACAGCAAACCACGTGTACTTTTGAGCGCAAGAATCGATTTTCACCGATGAATCTACACCGTCACATTCCTCGTCTACGCAAATAGCATCATCTCGGCGATGCACTGCATTCCACAATTAGCTTGGTCAATCATTTCACCTTGACTGGACGATGTCACGTCAGCCAAGGGTAGGACTATATCACCCTCGCGTTTAAAGCTACAATCCATTGCAATGCATTGTAGTTGCTTGTATATTCCCAACGGTTTGTCAAAAAAAATGACAAAACGGTTTAGGAATGAGTTTAGGATGGGTTTTGTTGTTAAAAAAATACTGTACACAACTACAAAAAACACAGAACTGGAAAAAGGCTATAAAGATATTTACGTTTAAAAAAAACGTGTGTAAAAACCATTACAATGCTTGCTGTATACTTTCAAACGAAATTTTATTCAAGCTAGCCTACACCTATGTTCATTTAAAATTAAGATTATAACTTTTATTAATAAGTTATTAACAAAACAGACCCACATGCAGCTTCCCATTCCCTAAAAATGGCATAACAGCAAATCCTGCAAGGAAATCTGTTTTTGTTTATCGAGTTGATGTTGTCTTGTTAGCTGTTTAAAAGTTGTCCGTTTATAATTACTTTGCACAGCACAGCTGCATTGGGAAGTTCCATAGCCCACGCAAATAAAATAAAAACTGGGCTTGCACAAACCCTTTTTTAAAAAGACAAGGAAACACCGCTGATTATATATTTTAAAAATTCACGTCCTTTTTCTGTTTTGCTCCAGCGTGGTGCAGAGGAGTTGGAATCTGCTTGTAAGGCGGGCGGCTACGCGTGCCTGATTGTATACTTGCCCTTCTGCAGCTGAGAGATGTACAGCTTTGACTTGCTGTTGTCCGACCGCTTGATCCACACCTCCAGGGTGTTGATGGCTGTTATCGTAGCACTACAACAGCAAAGGCACAATACAAAAAAAACTCATTAGTTATAGTAACGTGCAAATAATAAAAACCTCACGCGATTTTATCATCATCATTATTGATACTACACTTGTTTACCCAGTAAGACCTCGACGAGTGTCGAGACTCTTCTCAGCAAGGTCCTTCCAAGTTTTCATACCAGGGGGGCGATGTTGCTACTCTTACTGGAGTCATTTGCAGGTAATATTTCAGCATTGGGATGTTTTGGCTAATAGCAGCTAGATAGTATGTTTTTTGTTCGCAATTGTAGGAAACTTGAAAAACCCACGGAAAACCCATGCAAACAGGCAGAAAACATATAAAAAGCACGCAGAAAGGTGCCCGAGTAGGGAACAGAACCACAGCACCTTCTTGCTGCGAGGAATAAACGTTACCATTGCACCACCGTGCTTGCGCATAACATGAGGGATGACAAAAAAATACATGAATATCACGAGAGGTGATGGAAAAAAAAGTTAATTGTGGGGCTACACTGTGGGCAGCAGAGGGCAGTAAAGCAACATCCATTCTATTGGATTACTGCCACAATGCTCCCCAACTTCAACAACCCGCACCAATTAACGTGGTAAAGTGTGGCCAATTAACCACCATGACAAGTATGCTGTTGGTGAGGCTATCGTGTACACTTTCGCTCACTGTTGTGAAGGAAAAACATTTCTGTACTCGTATAAAAATAAATTTATGCGAACCAACACACCTGAAGACGACCGTTTGAGTTATGGTCGAAACGTCGTGAGAATTTTTTATTGTTTTATATATATATTTTATTATTTTGTTGTTTCTCTTCAACGTGACTTTACCAAAAAAACTAAAAATATGAATTACTGCAGTCACGAAAGCTTTAAATCAAAATTTAATCGCCTCTACGGGGAGGGTTTTCACATAACTTTAAGATCCTTCAACAAACTCCGGGATAAGAAAGCTCAGCTGATCGAGTCTCTCACCTTCCTGAAGAGATGCCGCGACTCTGGGGTAATACCAATCGCATTTACACTGACCTCTGCTGCTGTAACTTCTTCTAATGCGAAACGAATTCTTTTCAAAACTAGCTTAGCTCTTATCTCAGAAAAAATCAGACTTATATGCACCGAACTAGATCAGTTAGACAAGACACTCTACAAATCACACTTATCATTGACGGCAACAATGTCCACATCGGATTGGGAACATGTAGACAATATGACTGCCTCTTCAGCTGCTACTATGTCGACCAAATGTAAGGAAAACCTGATTTCCAAATTTAACCTCCTCTTCAACAAAAGACCGGACCCACACACCAAAAAGTTAGACGTTAATAAAGTCGTAATTAATCGCAGTAACAGTTCTATTTCCGATGGTCTGAAATCCGTTTTAGCTAAAGGTCTAAACTTTGCAGTCACACCTAAACACATACCAGTTAATGATATAATTGCCCAAGTAGACGTTGCTCTCAGGGGCCTGGGTCACATCGCTGCAGACGTAGCAAGATCTGAAATCGCTGCAACCCTCAAAAACGCTAAGATGCCAGCTAGCAACCTCAGCAAAGATGAGCGTTTTTAATTATATAAATTAAAAAAGAGGAATGATATTGTAGTCCTCTCAGCTGACAAAGGCAATGCTACTGTCATCCATGGATAAAATAGAATACAACAACAAAATTAAAGAATTACTCGACGATGGTAGTTATACAAAAATAAAAAGAGATCCCACCAACAGCCTCGTCACACAAACCAACAAAATAATTTCTGATTCAACCGCATTAATTGATCAATCTAAACAGTTTTCGTTGAAACCTTCTGCTGCCAGGCCACCAAGATTATACGGCTTACCAAAAATACATAAAGTAGATACACCCCTTCGTCCCATAGTCTCTACTATCGGCTCCCCCACCTACAAACTAGCTCGTTTTTTGTCTGAAATCCTGCGTCCTTTCACTGGAAAGACCACCTCTGCGGTACAAAATTCTACTCACCTGGTATTGACAATCAAGGGTATTTCCCTGTCCCCAGACGACCTGCTTGTCAGTTTTGATGTAGTTTCCTTATTCACCAAGGTTCCTGTACCTGACACCATTGCAATCATTGAAGACTTAGTTCATCAAGGACTAAACACTGAGGTACCCCCCCTGGTGAGACACTGTTTAACCAATACATACTTCACTTGGAATGGAACTTTCTACAAACAAACTGAGGGCACCCCAATGGGCTCCCCCCATTCTCCAGTTATAGCTAACATTTTCATGGATAAATTTGAGACTGACGCCATCCAGACTGCCACTCTGCGCCCAACCTTATGGAAGAGGTACGTGGATGACACTTTTGTTATCTGGCCACATGGCCGGCCTGCTCTAGACCAATTCTTCGACCACATCAATTCCATACACCCAGCCATCAGATTTACCATGGAAGTCGAAATAGATGGCAAGATACCTTTTTTGGATGTCCTAATTAAAAAGAGACCTGATGGTTCAATGAGCCACTCTGTCTACAGGAAAGCTACCCATACGGATGCTTATTTGAAACCGGATTCCCACCACCATCCATCACAGAAGAATTCTCTCATCAAGACTCTGTATCATAGAGCCCAATGCATATCCGACCAGGAACACATAAGCAGTGAACTCAAGCACGTACACCAAGCTCTTAGGGCTAATGGTTACTCCGACTATACAATCCGCAAAGCTATCACTCAAACCATGAAGAAGAACCGTCTTGAGGAGCCTTTCAAAACCATCACTATACCCTACATTGCTGGGATCACAAAAAAGATCTCCAAAATCTTGAATAAACACAAGATCCAGGTCCGTTTCAACACATTACATAAAATCCGTGATCTGGTTCCGTCTGTAAAAGATGTGATTCCGGACACACAATACCCTGGTGTCTACAAACTAAGTTGCCTCTGTGGTAGTAGTTACATTGGAGAAACCAAACGCCATGTCTCGGACCGCATTCGTGAACACAAAGCAGACCTTAAACACGGTAGGACCAACACCTCGGCCGTGGCAGATCATTGTTCTAATTCAGTAGGCTCACATGCCATTGACTTTTCCAAGACAGAGGTTCTTTGTAAGCCATCTGGCTTCCTTGAAAGATTCGTTCATGAGGCTATCCACATATACAAGCACAGAGACAATTTCAAATGAGAAGATGGATTCTATCTTAGCAATCATTGGAAAGATTTGATAAGCCATTTCAGGTCTTAATTGATTGTTCACGCTTACAGTGGCTTTCAGACAGCATACATTATAAAAAATTTCGTCTCCCCCCCTCCTCTTTTCAGAATATAGATGGACTAGTCCTGGGTAAACTGCCAAATCGTTGCGCGTGGCGCTAACGTTTTTTTATAAATAAATGCGCCGTTTAAAAATAAATTTATGCGAACCAACACACCTGAAGACGACCGTTTGAGTTATGGTCGAAACGTCGTGAGAATTTTTTATTGTTTTATATATATTTTATTATTTTGTTGTTTCTCTTCAACGTGACTTTACCGAAAAAACTAAGAATATGAATTACTGCAGTCACGAAAGCTTTAAATCAAAATTTGACTGCAATACTTTAACGTAATCTAAACATAACTGTGATGTGCAAAGGAATAATACCGTATTAATTTTCACTCCTTAATTCCTCCACCCTTATTGAGGAGGAATCAGTCTATCAGGTGGACTGAAGTTATTATACCCCTGCTCAATTCAAGAAGTCTTAACTTTCCTTTATCTATTACACCTTCAATAGGGATGATTGTTCATAGCTACTTGGTATTTTTGGCAATGGGGCCTGTGGTCTACAACCGTCATAATACAAATAACAATAATTACAATACATAACAACACAATGCCCGATCCACAAATACAAAGGAGACATCACAGCGATACAATCCACGACTCCTGACGCGGATATCTGGCTTGACCAATTGAATGTGACATTGTAATTGCTGCTTTGCATGTACATCGGCCGTATGACAAGAATATAATAATAAGAGATCAGCTTGACGTACAACATTGGAGAATCGTCCTTGGTGTCGATGATGATACTGTGTCCCCGGCCATACCAGTCACCCTCGTAGAACAGCCTCCCCTCCTCGAAGCGAGCCGAGTACTGGTGCTTATCCTGCTTGAACACCACTGCAAGAAATTAATGGGAAATCACACGTGTGTAGCCCGGCCAACACCTTTCCACATTACCAAATAATCGTGGTCATTAGCGATGCGGCAGAACAAGCTATGGAAAGGACATTGGATGTGACGAGGGAACAGGCGTAGAGTACAAGTAAATGAAGAGAAATAATCAAAGCAGCCAACCACATACACTAATGGCAACAATGGGACGTCTGACTTTGGAGAGCATCAGCATCGCACACAGAATTCTAAATGCTCAGGGACGTTGTCTGTGATGCTGGTAAAAGATCCAGTAATTAAAGGCATTTCATGATTAGCAGAATTGCTCTATCTACTGCTGGATATATACCTTCCCCTGCCATCTCCATTTTGTGCTGTCTCACAATGCAACAATCCATCAAGCTCCTGCACACAGCCTAATGCCACCGCTCCACCTTTGCGGTGCATGTCCTCTTCGGCGTGCTCTCCTTTGGCTGCTACTCCAATGTTAGTCTCGATCGTCGGCCCTCATCCCTTCCAACGACGTGTCCTGTCCAAGTCCACTTACTTGTCTAATGCCAACGTTGTCTGTAACATGTGTATGTTCTCTGATCCACGGGTTACTTCTCTCAGTGAAATTCCAAGTATACGCCTATCCAAGATTATTTGTGCATCATTCAGTATTTGTTCCATTGTCTGAGTTAATGTCCACGTTTCTGATCCATGTCATAGCAAGTAGAATACAATGACCAACAACATTTACTTTAGGCACATTGGTCATCGTTGTACTAAAATATCACTAAGTCATAGTGAAAACAACTACTATAAGCATATGCATTCATTTATAACTTTCCTCACCATCAGGTTTCCTCCTTGGCTGGCTCACTGCAGCTTTACCCTGCAAGTGAAAATATTAAAATAAACATGGATTAATATGGCAGTTAATCAGGTAGTATTAAATTATGCAGGGTATACAGATGATATGATGAGAAAACACCGTACCGTTATCTTTTTGATAGTCGTCCAGTCTTCTAGAATCTCACTGTCCCAAAGCATATAGACGATATATGGACGTGCAAAATGTTAAAGAAATTAAGATGGATATTGTAAGGACACCTTCAATCCAAAGCACAATGCAGCTGTTTGAAAAAAACATGGAAAATATTTCTGTTGCTCAACTGGTCACTGCACATTGAAAATTTTCCACTGAGTTTATCAAGTCACAAAACCAAAGGGAGATTACTTGAAAATAAAGTTACAGAATGCTAAAAATACAATTAGTGATATAATGTATAACAATACAGGAGTGCAGCAATGGTGCATTGGCTAATACACAGCACTATTAACCCAGAGACTGGAGTTTGATTCCCAACTACGGCTGAACTAGTCCTGGGCACCCCCGGCTAACCAACCTGTACCAAACAGCGTGGAGAGGTATAGCCAAACAACTCCCATTATTGATACAACATGGGGAGGCCTTCATTCAATCGTAGATTGATATAGGCTGTGATTATCAAATAACAACAAAATACCAAACATACCTCCAGGATATAAATTAGCATAAGATAGCTTTAAAAGGATATCAGTAACAGTAACTGGTTTTTTTCTTTTCTCTGGATTAAATGGATCAAATTTCTTCTTCTTTTTCGTTCTGAGTTCGTCACCCCAGAGTTCTAGGGGGGGGGGGGAAACACTGAGGTAAATACACGTGGCACATCAAACACAGAAGAACATTGTACAGTGTGAAGCGCAATCAGCCTTTGCGCAGATGTAACATTCCAGTCCGCTATGAGGACTTACCAGAGGTGATGTCAACATTCTGGCGGTCCTCTTCCAAACGCCTGATCTTCTCCTCCAGCTCATTTTGGACCGTGTCATACAACAGAAGTTTTTCACTCTAGCAAAAGAATGATAACCACAATAAATGTCCATTGAATCCCACCATAAGTGATACTGTCAGTGCAAAGAAGCAAATATAAGCACGCAATATATTCGTACGTAAACACAACTTCAACTCACCTCTAGGTGTTGACGTGCACCTTGTAGCTCACACTCGTACTTGTGTTTGACGACCGTCAAACAAAATTCCTTGTACACCCCTTGAGAAATAAAAAACAAAAAAGTGTTAATTTGCACAATAATAAACCAATTTTTTAAGAATCTCAACCACCTCATATTTGCTAATGACATAGTTATTATAATAACTGTCACAGAAATATGGCATTTCCAGCGATTGGCTCAGGGCCCACCAACCAACAGAGATGAACACTGAGCAAAGATGGTGGTTAAGTAGCTAACAATGATTATGGAGTTAACATTAAGCTTATGCAGATACAGTACCAAGATTTTTCCATGGTTACAAATACAGATGAAATGTCTTGATATGCCAAAAAGCAAACCATCACTTTGCAAACTCACCACACTAATTGAAAACTGTATTTTACCAAAATAACAAGATATATGAAATGAGCAGTTGTACAAAGATAAAGATCCCCCGTATAGTCTTAACAGACTGTAGGGGCAAGTGCTGTTAGCGAGCACCTATAAAGGCCGGCACGGCACAAGAGGAGGTGGGTGGCCAACAAACAACACCTGGCTGCCTTTGTCTCCCTAGTGGCGATGTTTACATATCGCACCGGGTACTCATTTGAGGCGGATTCGACCTAGGGGAGGCCCAGGACCGGTTCAGATAATTGTCACTGGTGTTGGCCGTGAGCAGGAATCGAACCCAGGTCGCCAGGTTAATAGCGCAGCACGCTAACCGCTACACTGCCGCTCCCCACCAGTTGTACAACACACGCTAACATATGCAAATCATATTACTCAATTTTTTTTATGATAGAAAGTTTTGCCATTAAGGAAATTGATGCAATTACACTCGAGTGTACAGAAGTAAGTGGTCCCAAGAGATGTGAGGTAAGCAAAGTCGCCTTGGGAACTACGGTCCTTATTCCTAAAACCGAAATATAAAACATATCCCTTTACCATTACTCCCTAATCCTGACCCCACACCCCAACTCCTAACAATGAGCATAAACCCTAACCCTTCACAAAGACCAAGGAAGCAGCATCCCCTTAATCTTACATACATGTAAAGCTAAATAAGGAAACGGTGGAGAGGACCACTAACATGTAAGCGCAACTTAAAGAAAATCTTTGATTGGCCGACAATCTGCTCCATGTTTGGATTTTAAAAAACCTGTGGGAACAGCGGTGCCAGACTAGGTTTCTATCTCCACATCTATAGGGTCGGCATTAATTTCCTTGACAAGACTCATTCACAAGCGCCTGCCTCTCAATGACACACCTGCCACCTCAGTCCGGATCTGCATGTTCTGCTGCAGAGCAGCAAGTGGCTCCAGGTATTCGGACGCCTTCCCAGTCTTCACTTCCTCAAGTTTGGCATCAACTTGGCTTATCCGCTCCCGGTAGAGCCTGGCAGAGTTGCAAAAAAAAGCACCATTGTCAATCTCCAGCATACCCAGAAACCAAGTTATCACCTCATGCAGCAAGTGATATTATAAATAACGTGTGTAAATGCTCAGACAATGGTACAACAAGATAAACATTTCTGAGCGGGGAAATTGTTTCTTTCCACTGTAATACAAAGTCACTCATTTTCAGAAATATAATTTATTGCATATAAATAACAATAGTATCATAATAAATGTATATTGCATTTTTCCATTTATAAAATATCTCAAACATTGGTGCACCCTGTGTGCATAGCCCTTTTTGTCAGACCACTGTTCGATCCGGGCCTCTCTATTTGACAGATCGATCATTGTCGGTTGTTTAACCCTACTTCACCACGCTGGTCAGTGCACATCCGCGAAAGCTGCAAGCACAATCGCAGGAGGGTGATGGATTATCCTGCACTGCCGTCCGCTGTCCACATTGTAGCACAGCCAACCACGGTGGCCTATGACAATCTGCTGTGCATGGCGGTCACCCATCCAAGCACTATCCAGGCACAAGACTGCTTAACATCCGACATCTGACGAGATGGGAAGCATTCATGGTGATTTGGTTATAGGCATTATGAATAAACAACAACGGCGATCCCACTCGAGCTTACAAGGACACAGGCAACATCACGGAATATTATATGTATGTATGTATGTTGAACTTATTTCTCACAACCGCACTCACTGTTCCTTCAAGTCCGAAAACTGCCGCTCCAAATCAGACATCTCACTGAGGCATTCGGTCCTCCGCCTTTCGTAGTCCTCCTCGTTCATGTCTGCCACGTGAAACACAAATAATAAAGCAGGTGAGTTGTACGCAGCCAAAATTCGTCTACTCATACGAACCCTGGGAAGCCCCTTCACGAATAGGTAACTTGTTTTTTTTTGCGAACAGCTGACGCATTCTCTTACAGGAATATGGACACAGTGGTTGAGACTGCCAGAAGCTTAACAAAACACGAATGTGTGTACTTTGATTTGATGTTGCTTTAAATAAAAAAAACTCAGTCCTGACCATGATGTTAAACTATATCTGGCGATGGTATCCCCTAATCGCCGCCGCTGCTGCTGATGATGATGAAGGCAAGGGCCAGATAGTTCAACTATCTCCATTGCATTCAATAACAAGAAGTGGAATGCAATCTTCAGGAGGGGTCCTTGAGCCATGGACCTGCCCTCGGGCAGAATCCTGAATAATAAGAAACCACAAATAGCATATCATCGAAGAGGGAAGAGTTAAACGCAAATCATGCTGGCTATATTATACAATTAACATAGTGGGGAATAATTGTGAAGCTGGATTTGGAAACGGATAACGCAACGATAGACGTTTGTTTATATTCCATCTCAAAATACTCAGTGCTATGTGCCTTCATAACACACCAATGCGTGATAATGAAGATCTGAGATGATGATCAAGTTCATCAAGTTCATGATGGTGACGAGGCTACCCGGGACAGACTCATTGTGTTACGAAAGCAAGTAATGACCCTTTTGCACCGACGAAGAGGAGATCACTGAACCTCAAGATTCGTTCGTGTTCAGAAAGGGTCTCTCTGCTACATTGTGATGTCTTATGATTTCCGTTAAGAGTTTGGCTCAGCGCGTGAGGAAACGCTTAAAACTCCCGCACAGATTCAACAAATCCACTGCCGTAATCCTTGCCACCGCGCAGCAACAGCAACAATAACAACGACAAAAAATCGTCGTCGAAAGTGAAGCTAAAGATATATTTAAGCGTTCTGCCGCAACATTACGACACTTGCGTGTGCGAATGCATTTACGGATGATCGACAGATGACTGGAATTCCATTAGCCAAGCCTGCGCGAGTGATCCTCGCTCCTCGATGTGCAGTTTATAAAACACAATCTACAGACACGTTAAGCACATCAGTCGCTTAAAACAAAACGCCCTAACGTTTAACACCAACATTCGTCAACTCGTTAAACTTGTAAAGCGTTTAAATGTTGTTGTATTCGTAGCGTTTACAACGCGGGCTGACAGAATCAACACTTGCAACTTTAACACCACATCCAGCCGCCACATCCCGTCTCTACAAAGCAAACGCCGAGCAAACGCCGAACAACCCCCGCCCCCCACACACACACAGAGAGACCGCAAAAACAAACACTTAAAACCGGACACGTGAACGTATTGCAATTGCGAAATATAACAATATTAAACACAGAATAAAGGTGACCCGAGTAGGCCGCCGCGATGCCTAGCGCCTTTCCTAGCCACCTCACCCGAGCTGTCCTCCTCCTCCTCGGAGCCCGTGGAGCTGCCGCTCTCCTCGTCCGAACTCTCCTCATTCTCGGGCGACTCTTGATCCATTTCTTCTTCGTGGGCTTCGTCTTTCTTCTCCTTGGACTGTCCGGGCATGCCCGCTTGGCTTCTCCTTCCCCTCGTTGTTGTTGTTGTGTTGTTGTTGATGATGCGGAGAGAACGAAAGCCGCGTTGCTCCCGAAGCCGGACCCCGAACAGCGCCGCGCTCTGGTGGCGAGAGGTAAATTTATCGTGCGTTGTGGATGGACCGGTTCCCGTCATGGGAACGTGGAATAAACGAAAGTAAACTTTAAAAAATAAGTAAATAAATAAATAAACTTTCCCCGTTTTGTTTGAGCCACGCAGTTCTTTTTTTCAGAAGCGACCTGGCCGTCGCAAGTTTATGTCGGACACTTTAGAAGCAGCCAAATACTTCTACAGACGCGTGATTGTTTATTCTAAATGTGGAAGGGGGAAAAAACATCTCCTGTGTACCAGGCGAGGTAGTTAACATCTCCTGTACACCAGGCGAGGTGGTCAACATCTCCTGTACACCAGGCGAGGTAGTTAACATCTCCTGTATACCAGGCGAGGTAGTTAACATCTCCTGTGTACCAGGCGAGGTAGTTAACATCTCCTGTACACCAGGCGAGGTAGTTAACATCTCATGTACACCAGGCGAGGTGGTCAACATCTCCTGTACACCAGGCGAGGTAGTTAACATCTCCTGTACACCAGGCGAGTAGTCAACATCTCCTGTGTACCAGGCGAGGTAGTTAACATCTCCTGTACACCAGGCGAGGTAGTTAACATCTCCTGTGTATCAGGCGAGGCAGTTAACATAAGGACGGTTCATTATCTGAGGTTTTTAAATGGACTTATACCCCCTGACTGAGCTTCGGTAAGCCCTTCATGGAGAGGATACTCATCGTTGATGGACTGTCACTTTCACAGAAATCTGGAAGTATCGTCACGAGCTCATCACTTTAACATGGATACGAACTCAGCCCGCTGGCCGAGAGAGAACACCCCGTTAGTATTATTGTGTTGTGGACGGTACTGGTCACCGTCATATGAATGTGAAATTATCATGATTAGCTCCAAACTTTCAATGGAGGTGGGATGTGACCTGTATCGTAGTCATGTATTATTGTTAAGATGTTTTGCAAGTTGGACGCTGCAGTCCTGTAATGGCTATATCACACGGGACTTGTAACCCAAAGGTTCGATTCGATCTCCCGGTGTGGCAGTAGAAACAAAGGTGCAAGTTGTTGTTTAAAAAAAAAATCCCTCCCGCGGGGCCTCTGTCCCAACCCAGCAGTGTAAATGGGTTCACCACAGTGGTGGGATAAAGTGTGGGTATCCCCCACCTCTTGCAAGACCTATTGTCAGCGTGGAAGGGTTAAGCTAAATGTCCTCCAGAGGGTCGCTCCAGACATGGAGTTGCATGGCTGCATCTGCGGGGACCGGTAGTGTAGCCATGTGTAAACATCGCCACTGGGGAGACAAAGGCGGTCGGGCGTGGTGCTGGCCATCAACCCCCTCGTGTCATACAGTACCGACCTTCATAGCTGCTACTCGCTAACAGCACTTGGCCCAACAGTGTCGTATGGCTGCGTGTTTATATATTTGTATTATCTCAGGTCCATTAACCCGCACACAATGATCCGTAAAAAAAAAAACAAGGTAACTTAAAACCTACTAGTGTTCTATCACGGCAAATACGGAGACATAATATCTCCTCCATATACTGCATCTGTCCCGACACATACAAATACAATGGTATTCTTACACATAGCCCGCCACACCAACCAGGGAGTATGGGAAAAGTGCATGCGGTAATTTCAGCAACATTGGTTCAATCTAAGCAAACTCTGGACCGGTTTCGACAAACTCTTACTTCATCATAAACGTTTTTGGGTTAGATCGCGTTATTTATAAATGTGTCGTAACCCTCCACCACCCGACACGGCCAAACAGTAAAACATGTGTCACGTTTACAAAAGACTAATAGTTCACTACTTTAGCCCACCGGTGTGTTGAAGAGTGATTCAACATCATTTATAATTTTTGAGTACGACGTTTCGGAAGCAAGTAGAATAGTGAGGCTATTCTGGAAAATTGCCCGATGATGCTGGATGTAATAATTACCAGCGAAACGTCGTACTCAAAAAAATTGTAAATGATGTTGAATCACTCTTCAACACACCGGTGGGCTAGAGTAGTGAGCTATTAGTCTTTTGTAAACGTGACACATTTTTTACTGTTTGGCCGTGTCGGGTGGTAGAGCGTTACGACACATTTATAAATAACGCAATCTAATCCAAAAACGTTTAAATTTTATTTAAAGCTTTCGTGACTGCAGGGATTCATATTCTTGGTTCTTTCGGTAAAGTAACGTAGAAGGGAAACAATAAAATAATAAAAATATAAAACAATAAAATTCTCACGACGTTTCGACTGCAACACAAGCAATCATCATCAGGTGTGAAAACCACAGCAAGAAATTTGAAAAAAGTGGCGTTTTTTTAACGTTAGCACCACGGAGAGCGAATTGACAGTTTGTTCAGATGGACGAGTCCATCTATGTTCGGAAAAGAGGAGGGGGGAGACGAAAATAATGGATGCGGTCTGAAAGCCACCGTAAGCGTGAACAATCAATTAAGACCAGAAATTGTTTATCAAATCCTTCCAATGATTGCTAAGCCAGAATCCATCTTCTCGGTTGAATTTGTCTCTGTGTTTGTATATGTGGATAGCCTTATGAACGAATCTCTCATGGTAGCCAGATGGCTTGCAAAGAACCTCTGTCTTGGAGAAGTCAATGTCATGTGAGCCTACTGAATTATAACAGTGATCTGTCACAGCCGAGGTGTTGGTCCTACCGTGTTTAAGGTCTGCTTTGTGTTCACGGATGCGGTCCGAGACATGTCGTTTGGTTTCTCGAATGTAACTACTACCACAGAGGCAACTTAGTTTGTAGACGCCAGGGTACTGTATGTCCGGAATCACATATTTTACAGACGGAACCAGATCACGGATTTTATGTAATGTGTTGAATCGGACCTGGATCTTGTGTTTATTCAAGATTTTGGAGATCTTTTTTGTGATCCCCGCAATGTAGGGTAAAGTGATGGTTTTGAAAGGATCCTCAAGAGGGTCCTTCTTCATGGTTGGAGTGATAGCTTTGCGGATTGTGTAGTCGGAGTAACCATTAGCCTTAAGAGCTTGGTGTACGTGCTTGAGTTCACTGGCTATGTGTTCCTGGTCGGATATGCATTGGGCTCTATGGTGCAGAGTCTTGATGAGGGAATTCTTCTGGGATGGATGGTGGTGGGATTCCGGTTTCAGGTAAGCATCCGTATGGGTAGCTTTCCTGTAGAAAGAGTGGCTCATTGAACCATCAGGTCTCTTTTTTATTAGGACATCCAAAAAAGGTAGCTTGCCATCTTTTTCAACTTCCATGGTAAATCTGATGGCTGGGTGTATGGAATTGATGTGGTCGAAGAATTGGTCTAGAGCAGGCCGGCCATGTGGCCAGATGACAAAAGTGTCATCCACGTACCTCTTCCATAAGGTTGGGCGCAGAATGGCAGTCTGGATGGCGCCAGTCTCAAATTTCTCCATGAAAACGTTGGCTATAACCGGAGATAGGGGGGAGCCCATTGGGGTGCCCTCAGTTTGTTTGTAGAAAGTTCCATTCCAAGTGAAGTATGTATTAGTTATACAGTGTCTCACTAGGGGGGTACCTCAGTCCTTGATGAACCAAGTCTTCAATGATTGAGATGGTGTCAGGTACAGGAATTTTGGTGAATAAGAAAACTACATCAAAACTGACAAGCAAATCGTCTGGGGACAGGGAAATACCCTTGATTATCGATACCAGGTGAGTAGAATTTTGTACCGCAGAGGTGGTTTTTCCAGTATTATTTTATTGTTTCCCTTCTACGTGACTTTACCGAAAGAACCAAAAACGTTTATTATGAATAATATTGGTCGCGAAAGCCTACTTGTTAAACAAACTCTTACCTGTCAACCCCTTATCAATGCCCAGCCTTATTACAGACCAATTCAGACCTTATTGGTCACCCCGTGCCCCTTACACATCTCAAAGTTCATCCGACAAAGTCCCATCACAAGGGAGAGACAGAAAACAAATAGACACAACATTTTTTTTGTGCCCGTATTGAAACGTCTGTACGCCGTATGGACCTCAAAACTCAATTTCCCTGTCCAAGAATACTGGCTAAACCGGATGGGTTGACAGGTTTGCACACCAGTGTCTTATCAGCAGAGTCGGGATTGCTTGTGAACGGCCAGATGTGTCAGGCAAGGACCGCACCTCCGATGAGCACGGTTGGCCACGTACGGTGTGAAAGAAGTTGAACGTACGTACGTACCCGTCTTCTTTACGATGTGTGGGTCACAATTCTATACGTGTATGAGTTAGACGCGTGGCGTGACTGAATTGCACACAAAGATTCGCACCCACGCGCGTATTGCCTTACAATCACCATTGTCACCAGAACATTGCCTGTGGGTAAGGTGATATAAGCCGTCTTTATGACATTACATTTGTGTGTCATTAAAACAAACGAGTACTGTACTTACTTTTAATATACTGAATATATTAACATATCGGTATACAGTACAGTATACAACATGTTACCCCCCCCCACCCCCCCCCCCCCCCCCATATATGTTTGTAATTATTGTGTATACCATTTACCTGCAGCTGACTTCTCTTTGAAGTAATTACCAAAGCACTGACCAGTCGTGGTTAAAGTATGGTTAAACCAAATCCCCACGACCCACCCGGCGTGGCGATAAGGGCCTTAGTCCAGCAGTGGATTGGAGGGCTGTAAAGTTAGTATTCGTTTTTGTGACTAAGCACAATAAGGAACATCTGTATAATAAGCGAATTAATTTGTGATGCTGCGTTGACAATGGGGCAAACGCACGAGATTAATTATTGCTGTGCAATGAAAAACAGGTCATTGTCCGAAACGTCGCCTATGATATATTTAATTTCAAGGCCACACTTATTGATTAAAGTTTGTTTGAAAAACAAATATCTACAAGAGGCTAATTTAGAATCTTGTATTTATCTTTGTGCGTATAACTCCTCCTAGACATCTCCCCTAATATCAATAAACGATATGCTATTTGAAAGCTTTACGATGTGTAGTTGATGAAAACGAGGTTTACATTTCGTTAAAATTCTACCTTTGAACCAACCGTTAATTTCG